ATATATATATAATTCGACGTACTGAAATAATTTGGCATTCTTTTTTATGACTAAAAATTTATTAAAAAACCACCTACTTTGATTAGAGTTATTTAACACAAATATTTGTTGTAATCTTGTATAACGATTATACAAATATGACTCAACAGTATTTGTATTCACCAAAGATGTAGATATTTTTTTGGACCAAATGTCTACACCAGTCAAGTACTGCACGTAAAAATATCAACAGGTGTATAGACAATCGTTCATACGGATTTTTCCGGTTGTATCGACAATTCTCATGTGTACGCGTTTTATATGCAAGCATGTTTGCATCGCTCTGCTATCTTTTCTGTAAAAATATTCGATTCTTCTGACGACGTATGTTTTATTTTCACATTTTATTTTTTGGTTAATATTTCTATCGCAATACTGCGGTAATCGAAAAATTTAATAGAAATTTATTGATTATGTTGGAAATAAGCTAACATTACTTTGATTTCTCCCACAGAAATATTTTTATCAGACAGATATTCGTCTGATAACCATATACAGCAAATATTTTTCCAATAAAATATTTTCTTCCACATTGTTTCTTTTCTATACTTTTCTATACTTTAAAGAACTTGATTTGTTGACTAAATTGGATTTCATTTCATCTCAGTACAATAAATAAATTTATATTAAATAGCGATTATAATCGAGATTTATTACAAGTTTATGTCAAGATTAGAGATAGCAAATATGAAATACATAGAGGAGTTTATCCATGTAATTGACGTTGAGTAACATGTTGAGTAGCCCTATTATAGATGTATATATGTAATATCTTCTACATAAATCTACGGGAGCTAATTGGGTATTATCGGTTTAGAAATTTAGTTTATGGTTTGATAACATATACGTATATGAAGGTACAAGTTATCATCAGTTTTTAACTTCCGTTTTTCTCGAGACTGTATCAAATTTGTTTTAGCTGTTGATGTAAAAAAGGTAATTTAGGCCCGATTTTTCATTACCTGGTTAACTTATGGTTTAATCTAATATTTTATCTATTAGGATTCATCTATGTTATTGAAGCCCATTGGGTGAAACATCAGGTTAAACTTAATAATGAAAAACCGGACCTAAAAGTGCAAATAAAATATCTTAATCTATCATATTCTTTCATTTTATAATAAATATTTCATTTTATAATAATTTATAATAAACTTCTAATATTTAAATATATAATTATTTCTCTCATGCGAAATCTCATCCATAAGCGATATATGTATCTAGTAAAACATTTAGTATTAGATCTATATAATATTGCTTGTCAGGATATTACAGAATTAGAAATATTAAGAATTCCGTCGCAAAAAATTATCTTGCTCAAGTAAGACTTTTAAATCTTAATAGCTGAATTTTTCAGACCTTATGCTGTTAATGAAATAAAAAATAATTTATTTATTAGAAATGCTTTTGATAAAAATTTCTAAAGTTTATATATATGTACATAAACAGATATTTAATTTCAATTTAATTTGCAAGTCGGTGGTATTGGTTAACTATAAATTATATTATAAATTGCTACTACGAAACAGGATATTATCTGTTCGAGCGCCAGAGAGATTCATGCGCGCACAACCGATATCTGACCGCATAATTTGTTCTATAGTTTTAGGTGTGGATAATGCAGAAACGCTGCTGTAACTGCATTAAAGCAATACACGCAAACCAAATGAACATGATAGTACTTGGCAATAAAGTCACTTGTAGCTTTGCATACTCATAAGGTGGTTTTGCAACAGATTAAATGTCGTTATACTGTTGTTGTATATCATGTCAAATTTTTTTTAATTATTATATTTTTTTAATTATTATAAAAATAAAAATAAAAATATTATTCAATTAAAAAAATACGCACTATTATCTTTAAAATTCTTACGTTTAACATAAGATTTGAGTAAGTAATCATAAAATGTCAAGGAAAATTTATATAAATAAAGTTTTACGAACACGAATTTACTACTAAATTATTACGTGCAGATTACGCATGCGAAAACCGGGTTACCAGTGGCGATTACGTGAATTTCTTCTTAAATTTGTTCCTTGAAATATAAAATGTACAAACGCGCCAGCGTAGCAGATTAATCATAATAAGCTAAACGTAGCTTACCCGAGGTGTAATAAGGCAAAATATTCTGAGATTAGTTATGAATTATTGCACTATGCATTTGCAGCAGTGATTAAAAGCTGTGGGTAACCAGATATGAAGCACGAAGGAAAGGAACGAACAATATGACTGAGTGTGCGTTTTCACACTTACGGTTTTGTCCTGCAGCAACGATATTCTGCAATCGAGCGTAACACTAGCACCCGCTTGTACGGTAATGTTAGAACTCTCGCCTTCGAAGTGAGGGCCCCATTTGTGATCGTGATGATGTTGATGCTTGTTCAAAGTGCTGTGCGTATCAAAGATATAGTTCAGCATTGGTGCATCCGTCGGCACAGATCGCTTTGCCGCCGTCGTCGATTTCGTCGAAATCGAGTCCGTCGCCAGAGGCAGTTCTGTAATTTGCAAAGAGAAAGTGTCATGTTAATAAAAAAAAGAGTTGGAAACGTTACTTTAAGATTTTAATTAAACATAACACGTTATTGTAAGCGTTACTTTTTATAAAAAGTAATTCGTTATTATTACATGTTATCAGTTTTAAGAAATAATGTTTTACCGTTATCGTTACTTAGAATGTAACAATTTACTTTTCTCATTACTTCTTTATAATGCTAAAATATTCGATTTTAAAATGACATTATTTAAATATAATATAATTAATATAATTAATACTAAAAATTAAAATTCTAAAACTTTTAAAGTATTTTATATATAACTTTTAAAGAAATTCTAAATATTATAATCTTTATTGTATAGCAAGCTTTTTCTTTTTTTAAAACCTTCTAACAAATATTCCAATTTTTTATATTAATATTTTTATATTTTAATAGACTCATTTTTAGGAATTTCGAATATATTCATAAACAAAAAATTTTATCAAAAATTTTTATTAAATATTGTTTTTAACATTGTTGTTAAGTGCATTCTAACACTCAACACTGTTAGTATTAAAATCTATAGTTTATGTTACATAATATAGATTTTTAGTATTGGCAGCGACTATGGAAGTATTCGGGATGCAACGCATAAGATGTAAAGTGTAGTAAACTAAATATTTTTCAAAAATATTATTCAAAAATATTTTTATTAAAAAAATTATATTTAAATCGAATATTTCTATCTAATCTAATCTAATAAAAATAATGCGATGTATTGAATACATCTAAAGATAATTGGGAACTAAAGTAACGATAAAAGAAACGATGTATTCGTTATTGTAAAAATATTACATTATTATTACTGTCACAGAAAAAAAATAATAATTGTTAGGAAAAAAATAACAATAACAATAACAACGCAAGTAATTCTTAACCCTAATAAAGAATGCCTTAAAATGCTGTTTAACAAAAAAATAATATTTCGTAATTTGGAGATTTTTATGTTACAATATTTTTGAACATGAAGCGTTTCATTACGTTTAAATAATTTTCGTTGTTTGTTGTATTAATATGAGCATAAATTAACGAAGATCTGTATTTCATATTACAATAAATACGAGGCAAGTGTGTGACACGTATCATATCGTTTAACATTTCGAACAGCAGCGCATACATTAAATGTACACATCGTGTCATCATTCGAATTGTCATGATTGTTTACGGCATCATGCGCCACATTTACATATTTTCATATTATGTACACTCTGATGAGTTTCTCCCTGCTTTTTGTATTCAACCCTTCGCACCCGATCGTAACTCGTGACTTTATTTAATCGATTCGCTGGCATTCTCCTGTTATGGGCCATCGCTCAGGTTATCGACATTCAGCCAACCTGCCAATAACGGCCAATATTCGACGTAAATATGCATTTACGCCCGCAACAGGCGCAGTCGAGACATACAACATCCTCGTGCTGATATTACCATTACTTACAGCGATCGTACGTTCCGAATTTTTCGGTATATTTCTGAATAGAGAGTATGTTTTTCTTTATTCTGATTTATTGAGAAAGTCATACATTTCGTGTAGAGAGAGAAATAATATCAGAGACAAAATACGAAATTTATTATATTTTTTATTAAGAACATTATATCAAAGAATATTATAAAATTTTTAATCTTTCTAATCATTAAATATTGTATTTGATTGAAAAATAAGTTAATTCCTTCGTCTTTCTTTATTTTGTAATTTATGCATGGATTAAAACTATTGCTAAATGTTTTTGTGAGAAACAATTTCTTAAAATTAGTAGTAAGTTCTTAGGAGAACTTCTTTGAAGAATACGCCAATTTTTACACTTCTATTTATATTACAACAACATAACGAATACGAACATAACGATTTAATTTTACAAGCATTCCGTTTATGGTTACCGTTTACAGTTCTTCGTGCTTTGTACTCTCTTTTAACTTTGATAATGATAATTTCTAGCTGCGCTTTATACTACCGACAAAGTTCGCAGTACTATCTGACATTGTCGGATATGTTGAATATCTTCATGATTATTTCGTCGCAAGTAGAGAGAGAAAAGACGGGAGAGAGAATGGAAAAGTCAAGAATGAAAAGGAACGAAGATCTCGCAGGGGGAGCACAATGAAAGTCACATTGCTCGTTCGCGACCGAGGATCACCAAGTTAGATACTAACTCGTGATGACAAATTTTTCTGAGTTTATACCGTAGAAGAAGCACCTTCACAGTGTTCAGACATGTGATGTTTAGAGCCAAAGAAATAAAATGAGAAGATGTCTTCTACTAAAAAGTTAAGGTAGAAATTCCACGTAGATTGCCTTACCAGTTATCTCGGATCTCATTGTTTCTCTCACTCGTGTCTCATTGTTCCTTTTTTCATACGTGCGCTTTTTGATGATTATTGAAATCTTGTTCTTTTTGAAAATAGAGATTCGTAAATTTGTGTTATAATAAACATTACTCTCTGATGTGCTATTGAAAATTCTATTTAATATATTATATGTTATATTATATTTAATACTGACAATTGTCGAAAACTATTTAACGCGAAAACTGTCAAAAACATTTACTCACGTACTTGCTGTTACAATATATGTAAATTTGAATACGTATATTTCAAAAGTTGTTCAAATTTCAGCAATGCTATAAATACAAGAAACTTACGTGGGGTATATCGAAAAATTTGACATACCGAATACTTCTCTTTCATAAGTTTCGTCACGTAACGCCAACAGAAGTTCCATTTGAGAACACCGCGGACGTAAAGCCCGCTGCAGTCGATTGTTCTACGAAGACGAATTGGAGCACTTGTGCAGGTAATCCTGACTTTCATCGAGTCAGCGATAGGTGAGCACGGGAGTTCCCCGGACCTCCAGCAATTCCGGCAATCTTCGAGAGATCCGACACAGAATTCACGGGGTTGTGACAGAGGGAAGAAAGGAATATACGAGCGCACAATCCCACGACGAAGTCGCATGTCAAAAGGGATCAGTATGCCGCGGAGCGCGAAATTTTCTTTTCCGCACGCGACTCTTCGCCGTCATCTCATGCTTCTGAAGCTTCCTTATTCCTTTCTCTTTTCCCCGCACATTTCGATCTCTTCACCGTTTGGCTTCATCGGTCGCCTCTTCTTTCTTACTTGCACTGACGCGTCAATTCCGTTCTCCTGATCGTGGGAATTTTTCTTTTCGCCCGAGGGAAGAAAAACTGATCAGGAATTCCGGAACTGTTGGAAGCGTGTCTCGGATACCGAGAAGAATCTATCTAGCCAGTCATTCGTCAGTTCGTCACTCTCTCTTTTTCGTTCTCCGTCTCTCTCTCTCCCTCTCTCTCTCTCTCTCTCTCTCTCTCTCTCTCTCTCTCTCTCTTTCTCGGATATGAAAATCCTTACATATTGACATTAGTAGTACCATTAAGTTCTGCTTTGATATGATCGCGTTATTAAGGGAACGAGTTCAGAAATATATGATACGTGTAATCTTTCGTTCACGTAAGCTCGATCAAACTGATATGATTCAAAATGAGAACAAAATCGTGAAAAACGATGTCTCAATTGATATACTGGAAATCTTTAAATATTTCAACAAGAGATCGCGATTGTTAATTCATTCTATGTTAAATAATCTTTAATAGATAATCTTATAAACTAGATATAAACAATTATATTATTTCTATAGCTTATTTACGTTCGTAAATATATCGAGAAGAAGATAATCAGATGAGAAAAATTGCAAAAAAATTTGTCTTTACATGAACGAATGCACAAGACCTTTCATTCTTCGAAACTGACGGTGAATCTATTGGATACCCACAATCAATTAAATCTCTTTATAAAAAATGTCAAATAATTTAATTTTTTGTTACGTCTGCAAATTTGGATTATTCTTAATAAAATGTACTTAATATTCAGTTCTTTTTATATAAGTTGTGTTCTTTTAGTTCCTTGAAATTAATTAGTGACTTTTCAATAATGTAAATTAAATGGATCTTGCAGACCTAGCGTCAGTAGCTATGTTATAGATTTTTGGTGTCAGTTTCGGAGAATTAATAAAAATATATTAAATTTTAGGACATTAAAATCTAACGATTTCATGATAAATAATTTGAATGGATACGTGATACATACATAAAAATATTCGTAAACCAATCCCCGAAAACATTCCGACAAGAAGAATTGAAATTTGAAACTGAAATAGAATGATCCATACAAACAATATCCGAACAGCTGACAAGCAAACAGAAACAAGTAAATCCATTGTTAATTCCCAACTACGCGCGAAATACAGTATAATTCAACTTTCAAAGTCCGGTATTCGTACAGACTAAGCTGAAGAGAGATGGCCACGTCGGTATGTCACTGGTTCCAGCTGATTGGAACCATTTGTTGGCAAGATATACATTCTGATATCACGCCGGTATATTAAACTACATAGTGTGACTAATTACACGAGTTTATTCCATCAGATGCTAGCGAAATCTTGAGTTAGTAGCGCAAAAGACGATTTGGAACGCCTGTAGACGAACACTGTAAGTCGTGCTAAAATAATATAAGTACACTTCAAACATAAATATACGGCAAATATATATATATATATATATATATATATATATTGTTAAGAGTATTATTGAAGAGTATTAACCTCGCTTCTTTA